ATTATTATTATTATTATTAGTAGTATTAGTATTATTATTAAGACCTGGAGAGAAACCCAGGAATATGGGACATGCAAACGTCCTCCTGTGAAGTCAGATCCACTGCTCTGCTTATTTTACAACCCTGCTGCTGAAAAGCTGGAAAGCCAGCTCAAAACACACTCACATAGAGTCCTGAAGATGCGGGATTTAAAGAACTGCTGCACTCGATGAGCAGCTTTGATTACGTCTTTGAGATTAAGCTGAAGCTCAGCTCTAGTTTATCAAACAGACAGTCCAGCGGTGGTGACTAATCATCACCAGCTCCCTCAAGTTATCCAGAGATGAAAGATTTCTTAAACAAGTAAAACTGTTAAATAGGTATAGGTATAATATAGTCAAGCTGACATACTGTATTGTTTTGACCTTATGTGAATGGGTCATTCTTAATGGAAGTTGTTTATAAATGTGTGTCGGCAGTTTATGCTCCTGCTCCAGAGCTCTTTAGTCGACCTTCAAGGCAGGTTGTTCAACTTGTGACCTGCCGAGTTTCATTTCTTCAAAATGAAGGAAAATTCACTTTTATCTTTGCCAAAAACAGCTTTAATGTTTGGTTTTACATATTTCATTTTAAGCGACAATATGCAGATAAATTTGCTTCCTCTGAAGCTCGACAGTTGTGTCCTTAAAGGTCTGGATAAAAAGTGACTTCTGTCTGATTTCTGTGTGCAGTTAGAGGTCCTGAGGTTTGAGAGTCACGGCCTCGCAGCCGTGCACCAGTAACAGTCTCATCGGTCACAGCGCTCCACATATGAATAAAAACAGACCAGGTCAGCACTTTTCTGCCTCTGCAGGCCAGATTTAGATCAAACAGCACAAGCTTTGTCCGAATTTTCAGTCTACATGATCTCATACCCAACCACTGCTAAAAACTGTCACATGTATATTTTTAAGTGTGCAGTTTGTACCCCTGCTGAATGTGCATTTGATTTGATTATATGCATGCTAATGAACACTGAGTGTGGGAATGTATGCATCTACATTAACACAACTAGACTCAGTGCATCCCTAGTGTGTCCTGGACAGTTTGTTACAGAGTTGGTTTGTTTGTTTGTTTATCTGTAAGTTTTTCACTTTAAAATATAACTTAGAAAAGCAACAGTTCCAACAACAGGGATTAAATACTTTTATTTAATTGTGAGCATTCCTGCAGGCCCAACAGAAAACAGCATAGGAAGTTCTCGTAGATCTCGTAGATCCACCTTTTCTGACTTTATCAGTTGCTCGCATCGTTGGAGGGTTTGTGACGGACTCCTCTTTACAAAGTTGCCTCAGTACGTTGACAGTTTGGGGCATTTGTTTGTGCAAAGCTCTTTTAAGGTCTCGCAACAGCATTTAAATCAGGTTGAGGTCTGGACTTTGACTGAGCCATTGCAACACCTTGATTATTTTATTTTATTATTTTATTTTTCATTCTATTGTAGATTTATTACGGTGCTCGGGATCATTGTCCTATTGCACGACTCAGGTGTCGTGCTGATGGCCTCTCATGTGAGTCTAGAATACAACCCCGGTTTGTGTCTGCAAAACAAGCTCAAATCATCACCGCTCCACCACTGTGCTTAACAGCCAGTCATGAAGTGTTTGTGCTGATATGATGTGTTTTGTACATTATGGTCAAACATCTCCTCTTTGGACTGATAAAGGGAATTGTTCCAGAGGCCCGTGGTTTGTTCAGCAATCCTGGCAGCTCCTTTCAGCATGTTCAGTATTATGACACAAATGTTGTGGATGCATTTGATGCATTTGAGCATCAGGACCTAACTGATATTTATGCTTCTACTGTGTTTGAAAGCAGGAAGGCTGTACTTTACATGCATAAAAAACCTGGGCTTTAACACTAAATGAAAACAATGACTTGATGACTTAAATAACTTAAAAAAAAAAGTTTTTTTAAGGAACATTCGGGATCTTTTCATCTTTCATCACTACCTCAGCTTAATAGCGGCATGCATTCAGACATGACTTCTCTCTATCTTTCTCGAGTCGCTCATTTTACATGATGAACATCAATCAGATAGTACAGGGAAGAAAGTCTACTTATGATGTAAATCCAAACAAAAACATGCAGTCACAGCAAACTGTGTCTAAAGAACAGGGTGGATCATCTATAAGACGCCCATAAACACAGATTTGATCTCTGATAAAACTGCAGCATAACAACGTAATTGCACCAGCCCTGCATATTTTATTATTTAGTGGAGAATCTGGACGTAGTAAAAGTCAGTTTACTGGGAAGGACTTTTGATTGTTTTCAAGCCCTAACCTAATCAGTGCGTCAAGATCAAGATCAACACTGATCTCACACTCAGTCATTTCCACTTGAAAACATTAAAGTCAAGATATTATTATATTATTATATCACCATAATCGACACATGCGATAACGGCTATCACTTCATGATAATTTCAGATTATGACACTCTACGAGAGCAAATTATCCGACGTTAGGCCGCAGTTTAACGAGCTCCTCCTTTGTTTTGGATAAAGTCTGATGTGCAGTTTTCATTTGTATTGTCACAGCAATCAGAAACACTCGATTTGTTTAAGCACTCACGCCAAACAATTCGGTTTCTTTTACAAAGCTATAAAATAGTTTTATATAATTCAAAAATGAAAAACAACTGTTTAAAGTGTCCACAGATTTCAAGTACTTTGTCACCCGCCATAAAGTTCACACTCTGAACCTTCACGCTGACGAGGAGGAACGTGGAGAGTCACACTCACAGTCATTCACTTTCAGCAGGTCATTTTTCTCTCATAGTTTTTATTTTAAAGAGTTTTTTTTCTCCAGAGGGCAGAGAAATTATGTTAAATGTTACAGACACGGCTTATTAACAAATGATCTATTCATTTCTTTAGCGCAGATTTTACACTATTATTCTTTATTGTTTGTTTTTTTTAGTTGTGGCTCCAATCCATGGGCGTAACTTTGTGCTGAACATTGGGGTGGGGGGTGTCAAGGTCTCTGTCTAAATAAATAAATAAATCTGGGTAAATTCCCAGATGATTAAACATGCAAGTATTTTGCTGGTAATAACTGAAATGAGTAGGGAAAATCAACAGCCTATTTATACAAGATAATTCATAATTTTACTGGGGGTGTTATATTGGATGGGTCTGATTATTGGGGGGGTCATAACCCCCCCTAACCCCCCTGGAAATTACGCCCCTGCCCAAATCGCATGTAAAATTTAACCCCAGTTACATTGCAAAAGTGAAGCCAGACATGAGACTTTTTCTCTCAGTGCAAAAGTTTATCAACGAACACACAAACAAACAGACCCATCACAGACTTTCACACATCATTTGTACAATTTGTATGGCTGCCATGTTTTTTAATACATGTGTGTCGGTGTGTGGTTGCCATGGTGAGTACACCTGTGACATGAAGTGGACAATCTTACAGCTTCATGCTCTCCTACACAAAAAGACATGCATAAGGGGAAAATTTGAATGACTTATTGTGACAGTTTCACAAACTCTTTTGAACCCCCCACCCCCACCCCCACCCTCCCCAACTAAACCAAAGTCAAGTCAATGACTTGACACAGATAATACTACAATCTGAAACACAGTGTGGAGAAGAGTTTCAAAACAAACATCATTTTTTATTCAGCATGCTCCAAAACGAGTGACTGAGCCCATAAACTCAGCATTAAAGTGTTTACAAAGACAGAAAGCCGTGTTCTCGCAGACTTCTATAGGATCACAAGTCTTTTTGTAGACACGGCTGGAGAACAGGTCTATTTTGATCTAAACTGGGACCTTTTTAACCAAGCCAAGCTTTTTCCCAAACATTTTATAATAATGTTTTTGTGTGTGTGTGTGTGTATTGTATTGTGTATTGAGGACCTTAAAATATTAGAAACAAAACCAAACACACACTGCAGGCAGTCCTTCAGGCAAATCAAAAGGGTTGAAAAACCTGTTTAACTAAGGACAAAGCCAGACAAGTCCCTCTGCAGAAGACAGGCAAGAAAGCATGTTTCTCAATATCCAGGCCATGACAGCCCGATATCCAATAGGCAGTGAAAAAGCTTCAGGTCTGTGCAGCGCTGTGTGTGACCTACATCTGTCCTCATTAGGCCAACACCACCCAACACTTTATGTGTAGAGATATGAAGAGTTTCAAACAGCTGTTTCTTAGAGTTGCCTCATATGATTAGTCTCAAACTGTTCCACCTGTAATCTGCCATCCCTTCTGATAGCTTTAAATAAACACCAGATAATACAGACAGAAGTTTCATTTGTCAAATCAGCCCCGACGCAGTGAAGCAGCTTTTTGACCATCACAAGTCACAAAAAACTTCACCAAAAGCTACACAAATTAAATGATCTG